CACATGCTCTATAGCAAAAACCTCTACCAAAAAGAAAAAAAGAGAAAGGAAATTTCTCATTCATGTGCTTTACAGATGGTGCTGTTTTCTTCTTTTCCATTCTCTTTAGTCTGTTGAGTTTGTGACTTTTTAAAAATCCCTTGGCAGGGCTGGCAGGTGGTCTGGTGGTTGGGGCACTGGACTCCCACGTGGGCAACTGTGGTATAAGTCCTGGACCTGGTGTCTTTCTTTCTTACTTTCTCTCTCTCTTTCTCATCTCTTTCTGGTGAGTGCACATGCCCTATGACAAACTTTAAAATAAATAAATAAAATTAAATAATTCTTCAAAAAATTTCTTTGTGTGCACGTGTGCACACACGCGTGTACACGCACACAGAGAGGATCTTGGAGAGGGGGAACTAAGTAGGCATGTCTGATTTATCCTTTAACTGAAAATCTCCTTATCTCCTTAGATATTTAAATATTGTTATCCTTACTTTATTTGCACTTAAGCTATCTTGTTAAGGATTTTGATATGTTTTATCAGCTAATCTAATCTAGTATGTAAAAGTTAGTGTTGGCCCAGCTGCAGGGATGCAGAGTGTAGCGTTGTTGCGCCTTGATGCTGGAGGCGATGTGCAAGTCTGGTCTATCTGAGCATGCCAGGTGTGCTCACAGGCCTATGGTCCTGGCTGTCTGCAGGGCTCCTCACTTCCAAAGGAAATAAGTACATAAACTTTAAGAAGTTAAATTGTTGGGGCCAGCAGGTAGCATGGTGGTTAAGGTGTTTTACTCCTACATGAATGACTGCGGTTCAAGGTCTGGACCTGGCAGCTTGCTTTCTCACTCCTCCCTACCATTGCCCACCCCTGTCTCTCTGGTCAAATTTTAAAAATAAATAAATAAAATTATATCAAAACAATTTTTTAAAATTAATGCAGAGGTAGAGGAAGGAAATTTGAGAACCAAACACATTAGAAGAGAACTTTGGATAGTTCAACTAGACCAGAGGGAGAAGGAATTTGCAAGAGATGAGACTAGGTTAGCTGACGCTCATTAAAGAATGTGTTTTTGTGGGGCTGGCAGGTGGCATGGTGGTTGAGGGCGCTGGACTCCCACATGGCTGACCCCGGTTTGAGTCCTGGACCTGGTGACTTGCTTTCTTACTTTCTCTCTCTCTCTCTGTCCTTCTCTGGTCAAATTTAAATAAATAAACAAAGTTAAATAAAATAATACTTAAAAAAATAAGAAGAATGTGGATTTGTGTTGTATAAATGTCTTGATTATAATTACAGTAGTCTTAGAAATAGTGATAGCGAAAGTAGTAGCTGGGCTAACTCATTTAATCCTTGGTATTCTTTTTTTTTAAAAGTATTTTTATAGTTGAGAGGCTAAAACAAGTTTAAGATAGCTTTTTAGAAATATCATTAGTGGGACCAACAGTTGGCGTACTGTTTGTGACTCCCATGTAGTTGACCATGGTTCAAGTCCCAGACCTAGTGGCTTGGATTCATGCCGTGTGTGTGTGTGTGTGTGTGTGTGTGTGTGCCCAAGATCCCAAGAGGAGAATGGAGGAAAAGGGATCGCAGCGTGGCTATCCTCCTGATGGTGTTTCTCTCTTTCTGTCTGTCTTTATGGCAAACACAGGCCCTATGGCAAAATCCTCTCCAAAAAAAAAAAAAAGAAATTTCATTAGTAAAGTCTTCTTTTGCCTTAAATTTACAGAGGTGGACCGTAGTTGACATCACACATTTAGAGTAAACGAGATTATAAATCATGATAATAATTTTAAATTTTGAAATTATTTAAAAATATACTTTTTTAAGTTTATTAATTTTATTTCTTCCATGAGTGAGAGACAGAAAGAGAGAGAGTCACTCCCAACGTGGTCTTTCACTGCCATCCAGCCCAAGCCTCAGTCAGCCTAGATCATGGGTGTAGGTGCTCCCGGGACGTACAGAGACTTGAGGACTTAAATCCAGGACTGTCCCACGTGGGTCAAGCATTGCAGAATGTTGCGTTACCAGTGTACCACCAGCTGGCCCCTTAATTTTTTTTTTTTAAGAATTATTTTATTTAACTTTATTTATTTATTTTAATATGACCAGAGGGGGACAGAGCAAGAGAGAGAGGGGAAGTAAGAAAGCAAGCTCCTAGGTCCAGGACTTGAACTACAATTGGCCAAGTGGGAGTCCAGGGCCCTTAACCACCACACCACCTGCTGGCCCCTGGCCCCTTAATTTTTAAGAATTCCTTGTTGAGATATAAATGATAGAAGTTAAAGTGTACCTATTTCAAAAGGAAAATTTGATAAGCTTGATATCCAGCTATACCTGTGAAAAAAATCACTGTAATTAAGATGTCCATATTCCTCACTCCCTAGAATTTTCTCATGCACTTTTACAGTCCCTGCCTCTTAGTCCTCCTTGCCCAGCTCATTCCTAAGCAAATACTCATCTGCTCTATATCACTAATAGATTAATTTGTAAATTCCTTACATTTTTAAGTATTATCTTGGATCTGTTCTATAGTCTTTAAGTGTGTTATTCCAGGAGCAGGTGATATTTACCAAAGTTCTAAATAGCAGATATCATTCCCTTATCTAATATTATATCTTAACAGGAACTGAAGGAGTTCAACAGCCAAATATCTAGATTTTCATCAAATTATACTCTGTCTTGGGTGTAATCACAATACTTTGCCAACAAATTTACTTCTATATGACTAATTTAAAGGATTGCATAATATTCTTTTCTGTTGTCAAATTTACCTTCCTTTTCTTGAGACAGTTTCTATGGAATGTTTATGTTGTTTCCAGTTTTTTATATTTACACAATAAATCGATATCACACTCTTACTGTCTGTCAGGTAATGTTTAGGACATTGATTTGAATGAGACAGATAAGACCCCTGTCTTTACATTCCGGGGTAAGAGAGACAGTGAATGACCAGTGAGCCCCAAGGCTGTTAACAGATTTTTTTTTTTTTTGGAGAGGTTTTTGCTATAGGGCGCGTACGCTTGCCAGAGAGACAGAGACAGCGAGGGTGATTTCTCTAGAAGAGATGTGCTAGAGCAGTTGGGTTTTGGGCAAGCAGCATGCAGACTTAGGCAGATTACGAAGACTCCTCTGAAGAAATAGTCTGAAAGGGGAGAAGGCCCACAAGAAGAACCTTGAAGGAAGTTGGCACCCTACTGTATTTTATAACATCAGAAAGGGTTCCTCTTGACAAAGGAAGGCAAAGGCCCTGACAAACTAACTTTTTCTTCATGGACTTATAGTTAAGGGCATAACTTTTTGGGGGCCATATTTAATTTTTTTTCTTTTTAAAAATTACTTTATTTAACTTTATTTATATACTTGTTCATTTATTTATCTTTATTTGATGGGAACGGGTCAGAACAAGAGAGAGAGGGGAAGTGAGAGAGCAAGCTGCCAGGTCCAGGACTCAAACTGTGGTCGGCTGGCTGTGTGGGTGTCCAGTGCCCTTAACCATCACGCCACCTGCCGGCCCCTTAATATTCTGTTTTTATAAGTACATTGAAGGAAGGGGAACTCGGTGATATTTCCAGATTTACACTAGACTATAACGTGAGGAGGAGAACATTTCAGGAATATAGCATGTATGGAGTGGATAAAATCTCAGCAGACAAGTTTCCTTGGCCAACTAAAGTAAAATGCATCTAATGAAAAAAAATTATTACATATGGTAATGGATAAAATGATAGGAGTCAATGAAAAAAATGGAGTTATTACATAAGATAATGGATAAAATGATAGGAGTCTTTAGGAAACAGAAATATGAGAAGATTTATCCATTTATTCAATACACACTGAGCATCTACTATGTGCCATTCAGAGTTGTGGGCACTAAGGACACAGCAGTAAACTAAACAGGTAAAAGTCCCTGCCCTGAGGCCAGCAGGTGGCATGGTGGTTAAGGCACTAGACGCCCACATGGCCAACCGTGGTTCAAATCCCATTCTCCTGGGATTTTGGGCGTGCATGGACATGGACCTGGCATGATTTTCAAGCTGCTAGTTCCAGGACTTGAACTGCGGTCAGCTGTGCCTTAACCACCATGCCACCTGCTAGCCCACCTATTATGTTTTTCAAGCTACTGGTCCAAAACTCGAACCAGACAGTTGACCATGTGGGGATCCAGCCACCTTAATCACTAGGCCATGGGCTGACTTGTTGTGCTGTGGAGCTGGCCCAGAATTGTTGATTTTGACTATAAAACTAATAAACAGGCAACACTTAAGGAAAAATGAGTGTAGAATAAATTAAAGATGATTTAAATACTAACAAAACTTTACAGTTTTATGATACGATCAATGCATTTTATTGATTATTTTTCTGTGACATTACAATTTATATATCTGAACCTATATACTTTAAATGTGTAGTAACAAAAATTTGGGTCACACGATATATTAAGTCTAAATAAATCTGTTAAGATTTTAGGTCTAAAAAATGTTCTTTCACTCTGACATATTTGGATTTAAGATTTATTTTATTAAGTCTATATTCTTTAATTTTGTAAGATTATGTTGAGTTTTTTTTTCAGTACTGATATTTATTTGTTAAGAGAATTAAATTATTTTGTGGCTTTTCTACATAATGGTTCCTATAAATGTTTCTGATATTTTCAGGTAACTATTTTATTTTTTTAAAAAATTGTTTTACTTAACTTTATTTATTTTAGCTTGACCAGAGAGGGAGAGGGAGAGAGAGAGAGAAAGAAAGAGAGAAAGTGAGATAGCAAGCTGCCAGGTCCAGGACTCTAACTGCTTGCAGTGCGTCATGTGGGAGTCTGGTGCCCTTAACCACCCACCACCTGCTGGCCCCGAGATTTGATTTTTTAACATGTCACTTTTATATTCTTGTTATAAAGAGTTTGTGATATCTATATATATAGATATAGATATATATATATATCATAGTTTGTTGGAAAATGGGAAATCTTTGTAATATTTGTAAAATTTTGCAGACAGTTAATGACTTTGCCTTTTTTTCTAGGTTTGTTAAAGTTTTGCACAGTAGGGTTTTGTGGAATTGGGAGCCTAATTGATTTCATTCTTATTTCAATGCAGGTAAGTTAGTTTCAGTATAGAATGTAAACTACTTTTATATTCAACACTGAGTTCTGTGATCTTCTCCTGATATATTTGATTTGTTACTTAATTATTTTAATGACATATAATAATTGCAATATTTTTAGGATATAGTGGCCATCTTCCCTGGGGAGAGTTTTCACTTTCGATCTCTCTGTCTCTCCCTTTCTCTCTGGCGAGTGCACGTGCCCTATAGCAAAAATCGAAGAAAAAGAAAAAAGAAAAACATGCCAAGTGTGTATGTGTGCATACTTAAAGTCCCAAGAGGAGACTGGAGAAAAGGGCTTGTGGCATGGCCATTCCCCCTGGGGTGTGATTTCTCACTTTGTGTCTTTCTCTGGCAAGAGTATGTGCCCTATGATAAACATCTAAAATAAAAAAAGTTCATACTGTAGCTAGCTAAGCCAAAAAGAAAAAAGAGATTTATGGTTAATCTAGGTAATTTTGGGCTAGGGTGGGAGGAGGATTTAGCCTCTAGCAAGAATATCTCTTTATAAACAGGTGATATGTTCAGGATTCTTAATATCATCTTTGCTTCTTGGTGTTTAGCCTCGTTTCCTTCTATTGTGGTGGGTGTGGGAGCATAGTTTGTGAAATGCTGTCCTGAAGCATTGAAAAGTGCCACCAGATGTTTTCTGTTAAATTATACTGGTTGTGGTTAACTCATGAGGTTTCTTAAATTAGAGAAAGAGATGAATTTATCACAACAAATGTTGCCAAACAGTATTTCAGCAAGCATTTATGGAGCACCTAATGTCTTCGGCAAGTGTGTCAGTGTGCATTTAGATCCTCGTCTGTTTCGCTCTGCTTTCTCATGCAGTATTTTCCCTCTTCAGTTCTGTCTGCTTGATGTTAACATTATGCTCCAAAAGGAAGTCAAAATCTAGGGGAATTTGGTGCCATACTGTGAGGAGGAGGCAGCATATGGACCAATAAGATACCAGAATTAAACAAGGGAAATATTTGGTTTTTAAGTTGGAATTTTCCTGTCTTTACTCATAAACATATGCCTCACCAAATATCCTGCCTTCCCTGACTGTGGGGCAGGCAAGCAGGCATGAAGAGGCTAAGGCAGTTGTGCACATATGCTCAGAAATGGGCTTCTCTGAAAAGAGATTTCAAGGGATTTAATATATTACTGAGATTCTTTAGTATATTATAGGGATTCTGAATCCCAATAATAGAATTCAGACTGTCTTTGAAGCCCAGCAATTTAGGTAGTACTTTCATGTTAGGGTCTTTCTTTGGTGGTGTTCTCTTTGCTTTGCAGACTTAGTTTTATCAAATTGCAAAGCTGACGTGATCAAACCACTGCTTTCCCAAACTGCATACCCAAACTTTTCACAATACATAGTTCTCTCCTTAAAGATCTCCTGGGATTGGGGGCCAGCAGTTAGCATAATGGCTGTCGCTGGACTCGCACGTAGTCGACCGCGGTTCGAGTCCCGGACCCGGTGGCTTAAACTCACGCTGGGCGCGTGTGCGTGCGTGCCCAAGATCCCAAGAGGAGAACGGAGGAGAAAGGATTGCAGCGTGGCCATCCCCCCTGGTGGGGTGATTTCTCGCTTTCTGTCTCTGTCTGGTGAGCGCATGCACCCTATAGCAAAAATCTCTCCAAAAAAAAAATATATATATATTATTTGAACTCCGCACTTATTTATAGTTCACTTAAATAAGCTCCCTGTTGGCAGGAGTGGTACCATATTCACTGTTAGGTGTGTGATGCCTGATACAGAATCTTGAATATTGGAAGAATTAAATATTTGCTGAATAGTTTTTATGACCAAATTCATTTTTAAAAAGTTTTTATGACCAAATTTATTTTCAAAAAGAATCCTTTATAGCAGTGTTCTTCAAACTCTGCTTGTATAACCCCTGTAAGAATATTTTTAAAAGTCTAAACCCTCTGCATATTTTTAAATTGACATTTAAGTTTCTGTCCTAAGTTTGAATAGTTGCAAAGGATATAATCTCCAGTTTGTAAATATTGACATATTTAAAGGAAACTGTTACATAAATTTTTAAATGTATCCAACAGAATATAAATACCATAGGGTGGGAACCAGCAGTTAGAGTAATGGCTATGTCACTGGACTCCCATGTAGTCGACTGTGGTTCGGGGCCCGGACCCAGTGGCTTAAAACCCACGCTGGGCGCGTGTGCGTGCGTGCCCAAAATCCTGAGAGGAGAATGGAGGAGAAGGGATTGCAGCGTGGCCATCCCCCCTAGGGGGGTGATTTCTCGCTTTCTGTCTCTATGTCTCTCTCTGTCTGTCTGGCGAGCATACGCGCCCTATAGCAAAAAACCTCTCAAAAAAAAAAAAAAACCCATAGGGTTTTAAATATCACCTTCTTTAAAAAGAGATGGATGAACCTTTCACTATTATAATTTTTACATTGTTTTTTTTCCTTCTTCAGTTATTGTTTCTAGTCCCCTTCTCCCACAGAATTTTGTTCTACTGTAATATGTAAAAGTTCATGGAAAATTCATATGAAAAACTGAATGGATTTCAAATTTTTTGTAGCAAAATAAAATTCTACTTTCCATGAACTTTTTGAAGCCCCTCCTTGTATGTTTTTGTGCTTGAAATCCTCCTACTAATAATCTTACTGATTAACATGTAAATATTTTAAAATTTTCCGTGATTTCCAGAGTGAGTCAATTGTAATTATTAACAATACACACACAGTTGCTTAAAACAGCACAAATACGTTAGAAATTCAGCACATTATTTTTAAGCAAAAAGAAGTACAATGTTACAGGGATTGGATCATTTAAACAGGCTGTGGCAGAACCTACTTTTGAACCTTTGATTAAAGGAGAGAGTCTGACATTTGAATTATCCCTTCGTTTGGCACTTCAGCGGTTTTTGCACCTCAGTGCAATGTACCTTTGTAAAACTCAGGATGTGCTTTGATGGTAGGTAAGCTTTTCTGTAACAAGGTGGAGAAAGGACCGCAATGATGGGGAAAGTGGAAAGAGAAGCTATCATATTTATCAGCCAGTAGGTTTTACAAAGAGTTGTTTTGTTTCTTTATGTCTTTATTTTTTAAAAATTTTGAAGCAGTGTGGGCTTGGGGAATTGCACCCTCAGTTACTTGTTGGCCCTCAGATGGAGGACTGCCTCTGAGGTCTCACTCACAAAGAGTGGTTTTGTTTCTTTATATCTTTATTTTTTTAAAATTTTGCTATAGGGCTTATGCATTTCTCAGAGACAGAAGTGGGGATGGTGAGGCACACACCATCCTTTGGGAATGACCACACCACAAGCCTTTCTCCTCCATTTTTCCTCTTGAGATTTTGGGCATGCATGCACATACATCTGGCAGTTTTTCAAGACACTGGACTGGGACTTGAACGGCACAGTTGGCCTTATGGGATCCAGACACCTTAACTGTTGTGCCACTGGCCAGCCCTACAGAGAATTTTTATGAGAATCAAGGATCTGAAGATTGATTCTCATAAAGCTCTCTGGCCTGCATACACCTGGGTAAATCTTTGCCTACTCTTAAGGCTGTAATTTGAAGATTGGAACCTCAAAGGCTAATGCAGAAATTGTGTTAATTGGATTGTTACAAATGTGATTAAGTGGACAGGACGACTGTAGTGAATATGTGTTGTTTTTTTCCTATCTCTTACATCCCAGGGGGTTCTGTCAAGACTGTCAGTCACATTCCCTCGACTTCCACAGGGAGCCTGGCCTGACCAATTCTGTCGATCCTATTACCTTGAATATAGTCATTTGCCCAGCAATAGGCATAAAAACCAAACCGATCAGTGAAAGTCTTTCCTTGGAAAGGAAATGTTACTTTCTTTTGGGGGCTGCTGATCTGGAAATACATGAATCCAGAGCTGTTGGCAATTAAGAATGCCTGTCTAGAATAAAACTAGAGCTAAGCAAAGAGGCAGGAAGGTCAAAGCCAGGGCCTCATGGGGCACAGATTCAGTCCTTCAGGCCTCGGTTCTTGTAGCTCTCTTTTGATCTGGTGAGTTACTTAATTTTCTGCTACACCGGCCACTTAAGTTTTGCTTAAGATAGAGTTGGATTTTTGTTGCTCCTGGAAAATCTTGTTAACAACTGAAAAAATAAACCGAAAGTATTGTGAAATGTCTTGTGAAATGAGTAATTTGGAAAATTTGTGTCTTCTAGATTGTTGGACCTTCAGATGGAAGTAGTTACATTATAGATTATTATGGAACCAGACTTACAAGACTGAGTATCACTAATGAAACATATAGAAAAACACAGTTCTATCCATAAATATTTTTAAAAAGAAACAGTAAGTAATATGTATGTCATCTATTAGCTATCATGTATTATTCATATAAAATTATGAGAATTTTAGAACCGTAGGAAATTTTAACAGATTATATAGTATTATTAACCTCTCATTTTGCATATTAGAAAACTCCGGTCTATGGGACCAGCAGTTAGCTATGTCGCTGGATTCCCATGTAGTCGACTGCGGTTTGTGTCCCGGACCTGGTGGCTTAAAACTCATGCCAGGCATGTGTGCGTGCGTGTCCAAGATCCCGAGAGTAGAACAGAGGAGAAGGGATTGCGGAGTGGCCATCCCCCCGGGGGGTGATTTTTCGCTTTCTGTCTCTGTGTCTCTCTCTGTTTGTCTGGCGAGCACACGTGCCCTATAGAAAAAAAAAAAAAGAAAACTCCGGTCTACATATATCTCTAAAGTGTTTTTACAAGTGGTCTTCAAAAAGTTCACAGAAAATCTGTATTATAAAAAAATATGCATAGAGTTCTCTTTCCTACTATACAAGATGGCAAGTGAAAAAGCTGCAAAGCAGGATACTAAGGAGAAGAAACCTGAAGCCAAGAAGGCTGATGCCAGTGGCAAGGTTAAAAAGGGTGACCCCAAGGCTAAAAAGCCCAAGAAGGGGAAGCCCCATTGCAGCCAAAACCCCATCCTAGTCTGTGGCATCAGCAGATACTCCCGGTCTGACATGTATTCCAGGAAGGCCATGTACAAGAGGAAATACTCGGCCACTAAATCCAGGGTCGAAAAGAAAAAAGGAGAAGGTTCACAAAACCAGTTGGTGGAGACTAGAATGGTGGTACGTGGGTGGTTAAATTGCACAGAATGCCTACGTATTATCCTACTGAAGATGTGCCTCGAAAGCTGTTGAGCCACAGCAAAAAACCCTTCAGTCAGCATGTGAGAAAGCTGTGAGCCAGCATCACTCCTGGGACCATTCTGATCATCCTCACTGGATGCCACAGAGAGAGGCAAGAGAGTGGCTTTCCTGAAGCAGCTGAGCAGTGGTTTATTACTTGTAACTGGACCGCTGGTTCTCAATCGAGTTCCACTGCGTAGAACACACCAGAAATTTGTCATTGCCACCTCCACGAAAATTGATATTAGCAAAGTAAAAATCCCAAAGCACCTTACCGATGCCTACTTCAAGAAAAACAAACTGCGGAAGCCCAGACACCAAGGTGAGATCTTCAACACAGAGAAGGAGAAATACGAGATTTCAGAGCAGCGCAAGATTGATCAGAAAGCTGTGGATTCGCAAATTTTACCAAAAATCAAAGCTGTTAAAAATCAAAGCTGTTCCTCAGCTCTAGGGCTATCTGCGATCTGTATTTGCCCTTACAAATGGAGTTTATCCTCACAATTGGTGTTCTAGATTTTTTGTCAAGAACCTAGTTAAATAACTGATCATATATATTAAAAAAAATGCATAGATTTCAAAATTTTATGTCAAAATAAGCTTGTACTTTAATTCTATTTTTCCATGATTTTATTGAAATTCCCTTAAATGTGTGCTCATAGCTCTTGCAGTTTCCAGTTCAGACTTTCTCTGTAGTGAATATGGTCAAAGGACAAAGTTTACAAGAAAAAAATTGGGACCAGCAGTTAGCGTGATGACTATGTCACAGGACTCCCACATAGTTGACAGCAGTTTGAGTCCCGGACCTGGTGGCTTAATCTCACGCCGGGTGCGTGTGCATGTGTGCCCAAGATCCTGAGAGGAGAATGGAGGAGAAGGGATTGAGGCGTGACCATCCCCCCTGGGGGTGATTTCTTACTTTCTGTCTCTCTCTCTCTCTCTTTGTCTGTCTGATGAGTGCACACACCCTATAGCAAAAACCTCTCCAAAAAAAAAAAAAAAATAACATAATTGAAAATAGATTTTCATTATATGATAGTTATGATGAACGTGTGTGCTGTAAATAGTTCAGTATAACAGATGTTTTCTTCTGTCCATCTAGTCAAAGGTCAATATAACAATATAATCTTTTTTTTTTTTTTGAGAGGTTTTTGCTATAGGGTGCGCATGCTCACCAGAAAGACAGAGAGAGACAGAGAGACAGAAAGCAAGAAATTAACCCCCTAGGGGGAATGGCCATGCTGCAATCTCTTTTTCTCATTCTTTTCTTGGGATCTTGGGCACACATGCACATGCACCTGGTGTGAGTTTAAACCACCAGGCCTGGGACTCGAACTGTGGTCGACTATATGGGAATCCAGTGACATAGCCATTATGCCAACTGCTGGTCCCGGGCCAATATAATCTTTAACCTTTTTTATTTTTTTCTCGTCTCCTTTCCTAAACCTGATAGTTTATAGACTCTAAACTCTGAACTTTATATATGCACTTTCCCTGACCTGTACTTTGGCCCTGCCCATGAAAATTATTAAGTGACTTTAGCCTTAAATAGGTCATACACCTGTAGAAGGCAGAGATACCATTAGATTTCCTCGTTCAACTTACTGGTTCTTTAGGATTCTGCCAACGTAAGGTTTTTATTTCAATGAACACACAATAGTCTATTCTAATAAATAATCTTCTAATAATGGTAGATTTTCCTCAGAAAGAATTTTGGTAGAATGTCAGAAAAAATAGTTCCTTGTATAATTTTCTCTGTAATGGACAAGTCTTCTATAACATGGAGGATGCAGAGTACTTGTTAGATAATTGTTCACTTGGAACTGGTTAGCAACTTTCAGAGAGACAGGCAGAGAGAAAAGACAGGGCAGATATCTTAGCCACCATCATAGTCTAGGATTTTCAGTCGACTCTGCCCCAGAGTCTTCTTGTAAAGGCCAGGAAGGGAATAGACATTTGTTTAAATAGGATGTAAAGTATAATTTTGCTCTTCAGGTAGATTCTTTTTTCTCACAGTGAAATTATGGGATATTGTTATTGTCATGAGATTGAACAGTGACAGATCCTACAAATGTGAGGAATTTAGTCCATTTCTTGCCCAGAGTTTTTAGATTTTTTCTTACAAACTTTAAGAGTCATTGAGTTGTTTATTTTTATTTTATTTTATGTGTTGTTATTATTATTAGTAGTAGTATTTTTAATTTGACCAGAGTAAGACAGAGAAGGAGAGAAAGGGAAAGTAAGAAAACAAGCTGCCATTTCTCGGACTCTAACCGTGGTCAGACATGTGGAGTCCAGCATCTCTCTGCTGCGCCACCTGCTGGCCTTAGGAGTCATTGAATTTTCAAGTTAAATTGAACTTTCGAGAACCATCTGCTTTTTTCTACCTGGGAACAAATTGAGACCTAAGGAGGTTGAGACTAAGATGTGCAACTCGTTAGTGCAGAATTAAAACTAGAATCTAGGTTTTCTATACATCCCATGTGATTGTTCTCTACTTCCCACCCTAATAGCATCCCTTGCCAACTCTAGCATTTTGTATTAAGAGTCTCATTTTGGAAATTGTTTCTCCTACTTTATGAGAAAGATTGTGTGGCTTCACATAACCTTATTATTAATACCATAAATTATGTCTCTTTCAAAAGTATACAGAAAATTTTTAAGCCACAGTGTGTAAAAATTAAGCAAGTGTAATTTGAAAAGTGAGTCCATTCTCTCTAGCCTGTTATGTAACATTTAATCGGAATTCCAGACTGACATTTGAAATTTAAAACTTGAAGTGTCTGTTGAAAAGGCAGATAACCTGCATTGTCATTTATATGCTCTCTCTCTAGTACAGAGATTGCTTCAAGAGTAAGAAGAAAGTGTCCTGAGTAAGTGAAATGCTAAAATATGCAATAACCTTATTGAATGCTTTCAATTGTTGTGTTTTAATATATTTCTGTTTTCTGTTTTAGGATTTGAGCCTCATGGTTGCTATAGAGAACTTTCAGTACGTGGATTTTCCATTTCCTTCTTCACATACCACTTTATGAGTTCTGTATAATTTTTTGATGTTGTGGTTGTTTTGTTGATTCAGCTAATAGTGCATCATCCTGAGATTTATTTAATAGGACTTTCTTTGAAACTTGTATAATAATCTTTCTGAGGCTCCTGTCTCCATGAGATAGATAGCTTATTACTCTGATATTCTTTAATGTCTTTTACAAAGGCAAGTTGCCACTTGTTATTTTTGCTTCTGGAAAATAAAGATGTAACTTATTCACATTTTTTAGTGCTGTATTATTAAGACCTTCTTAAATGTTGACTGTAGCTGCCTTCTACATTTTGATCATCCAAAGTACTTAATACATGGTGTGAACAAATGCCATTTATATTGCTGGGGGCTGCAGTCTTGCATGTGTCACCTTTCAGATCTTTTTTTCCAGCTTTCAGATCTGTCTTCGCCTTCATATCCAGGGGAGCCAAAGATCACCAGGGTGTCTGTGAAACTTGGAGGCAACATGGCTGCTTCTGAATTTTTCCCTGTTTTTGCTTTGGGAGTGATGCCCTGGGTTTGGAAGACTGGATGCTGACTCATCAAACTCACTCCAGTTAATGTATTTGAAGCTGGATGGACAAGGGGATATGCCTAGAAGATGCACCAGTGTCTGAAGGAAGCAGCTCCTGGACACTAGCACCAGGCCTTTCTGACTGTGTTTAGAAGGTTTTAAGAACATGGGAATACATGAAACACTCTATTCCCATAATACCCTGCTCTTTCTTTCTTTATTAATGGACAGATCAGTTTCAAAATTAGTGTGGTGTAGGGTCAGCAGGTGGCTTGAAAGCTATGGTCCTGGATCTTACATGGCCAATTCTGTGGTCAGAGGCCAGGACCTGGTGGCTTAAAAAACATGCCTGGTATGTGTGCATCCAAAACCCTGAGAGGAGAGTAGAGAAGAGATTACAGTGTGGCCGTCGTGCATGAGGAGTGATTTCTCACTTTCTCTCTCTACCTCTGTCTCTCTCTGGTGAGTGCATGTGTCCTATGGCAAAAATCTTAAAAAAAAAAAAAAGAAAAGAGTGGAGTCCAGGTTCCTTTAGACTAAAAGCTATAATTTTATTCATTTTTCTCACAGTATATGTTGTAGTACAGTTCACTTCATAATGTTAGTCATTCAGTAATAACTTCTTGAGTTGATGGCAGATTTTAAATATTTTAAATATTGACATGTGGAAACCAGCAGATGGAGTCATAGTTACAGCACTGGACTTCCTCATGGTCAACCGTGGTTTGAGTCCTGGACCCAGCAGCTTAAAACTCATGCCAAGCGCATGTGCGTGTGCCCAAAATCTTGAGAGAATGGAGGAGAAGCGATTGTGGTGTGGCCATTTCCCCAGAGTGGTGATTTCTCACTTTCTGCCTCTCTCTGTCTCTTCGGCGAGTGAACATGCCCCCAAAGCAAAAATCTCTCTAAAATAATAAATAAATAAATACTGACATATGTAGTGAATTTGGCTTGACTCCTTATATACACTCCTTATATACACTGGGAACGTTTCTGATTCATTCATTAATTAAATATTTAGTATCAGGTAGAAAATACTTTTCTAGAAGGAGGATATAGCAGTGAATAAAACAATCTCTGCCCTTTAGGAGCCACTTTTTCACAGTGATAAAATTTGTGGCTACAGGTAAGCTGACTGGTAGATACCCATTTTCTAGTGTTCCCTGTTTACTTCAAGATCACCAACACCAAGGTTTAAAAATTCATGAGTTCCCACAGTCATGTAAACTTAATTATATAAGAAATACCTGCAGTTAGAGTTGAAAAGTAATCGTGATTCTTGCATAATTGTTTCAGTCATTAGCTTGGCCAGGTGGGAAGTCTGTTTCAAAGCAGATGCTCTGCAAAGTTTTTATTCAGATAAGCTAGACTCCAAAAAGTTTGATGAACTTGGAAATAAAGTTTTTTCATAATACATTATTAAACCGTTAGACTTTATTCTCTCTATAGTTTGCTAAATGTATGTGATAAGAACACTTACTAGCTTGTCTAATTCTGTTACCTAATGTATATAATTGTTTTTTTTTTTTAATTTAAAAAATTTGCTATAGAGCACATGCGCTCTCTGGGGAACGACAAAGATGGGGGTGGGGGAGTCAACCTCCAGTGGGGATGATCATCCCACACCCCCTTCTCTGTCTCCTCCATTCTCCTCTTGGGATTTTGGGCACTCATGCACATGTGCCCAGCATGTTTTTCAAGCCTCCAGGTCTGGGACTTGAACCATGCAGTCAGAATTTGGGATCCAGCTGCCTTACGCACCACACCACTTAGCTGGCCCTGTATGTAATTCTGTTTTTTTTTGTTGTTGTTGTTTGTTTGTTTTTTTAATTAAAGTGGTTTATTTGAACCAAGGCTTAAGATGAGTCACCTGGATGATACAGACTCTTGCTTGCCCAAAAATGTGCTCCCCAAAATGGCAGGTGAGAAAGCTGATCTATACAATAAAGAGAAGGGGAAGAAGGGAGGAGTTTACAGGGCTGGCAGGTGGTGTGGTGGGTAAGGATGGTGAACTCCCACATGGCTGATCGTGGTTCGAGTCCAGGACCTAGTGGCTTGCTTTCTCACTTTCCTTCTCTCTCTTAGTTCCTCTCTAGTCAAAATTAAAAAAAAAAAAAAAAAAGAGGAGGCTACAAGTTATCAAGAGTCTATATTGCCCCATTTAAAATGCAGGAAAGAGTAATGAAACCCAATACTCAATCTGCATAGGTAACAAAGGCTGCAAGAAAAAAAGAATGTTCTTGACAGCATAATTACCAAAGTATGGAGGAGAACATATGAAATAATAAACATTGGACATATTTTCCTTAAAAATTGAGAATGCAAACATACTGGCATTAATCATTTCTTGACTATAAGTAACAATTTTCAAAATCATAGTATAACAAATTTTAAAATGTAAAATTACAAAATACTTTATGTATTGCCATTTGTGTAAGTAGTAAAGGTATACATTTAAGTGTAGGGTTGATTCATTTTAAGTTTAGGAGAACTCCCCCTCCAAGGAGGGAGTAGAAGAGCAGAAAGTGTGAGGGAAGAGGTTTGACTGTATCTCTTGAATTTCATTTTATCTTTTCAAAAAGAGTTCTGCTGTAAATAGGCCAAAAGTGCTACCATCTCTTTCATCTTGGTGCTCCTGGGTGCTCCATGATTTTTTTTTTTTTTTTAATGAGATTTTTTGCTATAGGGTGTGTGTGCTTGCTGGAGAGACAGACAGAAAGCAAGAAATCATCCCCCGGGAGGAATGGCCACACCGTAATTCCTTCTCCATTTTCCTCTAGGGATTTTGGGCAGGCACACCCATATGCCTTGCATGAATTTCAAACCACCCGGCCCAGGACTCAAACCGCATCCTGTCGTGTGGGAGTCCAGTGCTTTAACCATTATGCCACCCGCTGGCCTCCCCTTTATATTTTTAGAGTCTAATATCTTAACTTTTAGTAAACATAGCAGTGCTATTAAAGCTAAGGCATCAAATGGAGAAAAGAATTTTACTTTCTTAGAAAACAAGTATTTTTCAGAAAAATAATTGTAAAAAATGTTAACATTGACAGATTTTAAAGTTTTAAGATTCTAACTTGTTAAAAGCTGCTCTTGGAGCTGATGACCGTGCAGCCATTAACACACAATGCTCTGCAAGGGCAACTCATCTGGGACGGTTCTGGAGTTAGGTCTGGAGACCTCCAAGTACACAGGCATGTACACCCTGGCTGTTGGAAGCTGGAGGTGGATCACTGCTTCAGGGCCTGCTGGAGGAACTCTCTCCCCTTCTCCCTCTCCTGCTCATGGGAGAAATAAACCTTTTCAAAAAGTTGCTCTTGGGGCGGGTAGGTGGTGTGGTGGTTGAGGGCGATGTAGTCGCACATGGCCGACTGTGGTTCGAGTCCTGAACCTGATGACTTGCTTTCTCACTTTCCCTCATTCTCTGTCTCACATTAAAAATAATAATAATGATGATAATAAATAAGGTTAAATAAAAAATTCTTTTTTTTAAAAAAAGTTGCTCTCCATGTGCCATTGTGCAAAGCTCAGTACACTTAAAATAACACACACATTTCCAAAGTTTTGCTGAAGAGTCATTACTGTTATTTTATAGATTAGTAAATTGAGTTCCAAAAGGACTGAATGATGAAGCCAGGATTAACCCAAGTTGAAATTCTATATTCTTGAGAGAGACCTCTGCTGTCCCACCTTCAGTAGGATGATTACAACCATCTAATTCTCCAAAATGTACTGCTAATGATTATGTAATAAGAGACTTGTTAATAGGTTTAATGTTTTCGGTAAAAACGGAATTATCTGTATAATGAGCCCTTTTGCTTAACAGCAAAACCAAAAAAAACTTACGCAAACTTTTCAACTTTACATGTAAATGCCAAAATGTTTTATGAATATCAAAATGAGGTTAAGAGAGAAAAGTGCTATTGTCAAAAACACAAAGCCTTTTCTGCAGCCTCCTCATCTGACATTTGCAACACTTGCTGAACTAAAAGTCTCACCAAGTTAGTTCCGAAGGTTGTGCTTGTATGACAGGAGAGAGACGGGGAGTAGAACTGTACCCCCAGGTTGTGCTTAGTCTTGCTGAGGCCACAGGAAGCTAGAGACAACATCTGTAGGTGCTGGGATTACAGGTCATCCTTGATTGATTGATTGATTGATTTAGGATGTTCTTACTGGGGAGAGAGAGAAATGGGGAGGGAGAATGGAGAAATTGAGAAAGCACCCCCGGGGGGGATGACCCTTACCACCCTTCCTTCTCTCCTTTCCTCTTGGGAGTCTCGGCACTCTCTGTCTCTCTCTGTCTCTGTCTCTATCTGTCTCTCTCTCTCACACACACACACACACACACACACACACACACACACACGCCTGGTGTGTTTTCCAAGCCACAGGTCTGGGACTGTGGTAGGCAGTTAGCCGTGAGCGGACAGCCCTAAGAGAAAAGTGAAAGGCTCATCTAGCTCCAAGTGCCAGGAGGGCGAGGCAATTTGCCATCTTTATTCCTTGAGGCCTGAGGGAAGCACACAGGGATGATTCATAAATTTTTCTCTTATCAAAAAGACCTAAACAAGCGTTTTTGGTCAATGCCCCAATTCCTTTTAGGGCAATAGACTAACTGAGCAGTCTAATTGGGGCAACCTGGCTCGCATCAGTCACCACGCGGTGATCAAGTTCCTCATTCTTTACCTGTGAGGAAGGTGCGCAGGTGCAGGGAAAGAATGTGGGGAATTAAATTTAAAGGAAGGACATAGGCAGCATAAGGTGCCTCCCACTACTGAATATTCATGACCTCTAGTAATACAAATAACGGTTAACTAGTACCAAGCGGGTTGCCCCTTGGCAATCTGCCCGCCCAACAACCTTTTTGGGTGTACTTTCTTTTTTTCCTTTCCTTTCTTTCTATTAAATTTTTTTTTCTATCTACTTCATTCGTGGTTGCAGTTTCATTTTGCGCCTAGGGACAGATCTCTAATTTTAGTGATCTGGACCCAAAGAACCAAGGACATCACCATGCAGCTCAACACTTTTCCATTCGTTAACAGGACTGCATAGTTGGCCAAGGGGGATCCAGCCACCTTCACCACACCACCTGACTGGCACTCATCTTTCTTTTGGCTTATCTAATTTTTCCACCACAAACATGCATAATTAGCATGCACTTATTTGACATTGTAAATAATAAGATGGGTAATGTGTACTGCAAAACCTCCCCAAATCTTGTTCTCTATTTCCTTTCCCTCTTCCCTCTTCTTTTTTTGGGAGAGGTTTTCACTATAGGGCGCATGCAATCGCCAAACAGAGAGAGACAGAGAGACAGAATGTGAGA